ATAGATTTAATTTATAAGCGCTTTTCAAAACTCAAAGACACTGTACATTTGTTAAAATAAATAAATAAAATGAAATAAAATAATGAATTAATCAATTGAACTAATGCAGCGAGTAAAGTAAGGATCTGCTGTCAGTCCTGAGCAGAGTCGTACCATCTTGAAAAGTTCCAGTGATGTTGTTCTTAATATCAGTACTCGTGGAAGACCTCTTGTCCAATCAGAGTACTCGGTCAAAACTGTTGTATAATATATAATAATGTATATAATGTATAATAATAAACAACAGGAGATAAAGTGAGTCAGAAAATGTTTCCAAAGAAGTTGAAAAAAGACATTGAAAAAGTTAATTATAGGTCCACACAACACATCCAAGTTTGCAAAAAAGGATCATCTAAAAAAAGGATGTAGAATCAAATAATTTCTCCACCCTGTAAACCAGAATTTGAAGCAGAAGAAATCAGGTTTGTGAATGCAGAAAACTGAGAAGTTTTTTTTTTTAGCAAACTATACATTTTATTCATATATAAAAAGTTAATATAATGTGGGCCTTTAATAAGTCCTGAACAGCCAATTTGCTAAGTTGTACACAATGCTGCTTCAGTATCTGTGTTTATAGCTTTCAAGTTTATATATTTATTTTTTATAGTTTACAAGACATGAGGTCAGTTTTTAATGCATAGCCACTAGGGGGCATACTAAACACATGACATGCCATTGAACAGATGTACTTATGGCAGGAACTTGAATGTTTCCTTGAAGATCATTGTGGGGAAGTTTGAGTAATATGGGAGACTTGAGAAGACAAGAAAATAAAGTATAGTGAACGCCAACAGCGAGACAAAAGCATAAATGGACACATAACATTTCACGTTTTAATGGGGAACTTAAAAGTTATTAAACTCTGAAACATGAGTTTAAGGCCACTTGGACAATGAAACATGTAAATAGCTTAAAATTGAAAATCTCTTACTTGTGCGTATTGTATTTGAGAGTAAATCGTTGTCATAATTTAAAATGTAAATGCACATCTATTCTCTCTTTAAGATTGAGTTTGGTGACCATTCATGTGCAGAAAAACAACATTCACAAGTCCTGATACATTAACTATTAATTGCTCATGCAGCTTTCATGGTAAACATCAATTCAGAATCATGTGTTACGTTTAAAGACATGCAGCTGTTTAGAAATTCATGTCAAAACCACATATACTTTCATGTTTGACAGGAACATTGAGATTTCTTGTTTTGTTTTTGTAACTGTTTCCTATTCAACAGTTTTTGATCTATGTGACTTATGATTAATCATCTCTCATAAATATTTGTAGTACAGTATTAATGTAAGCGAGCTGGGGGCAAAAGGAAAAAGTCTCAGCCATATTCAGTCAAAACCATGATAAGCACACTGCACCAAAAGCTGTTCAATATATTCATAAGTACAAGGATCAAACAACAATTTGTGTTCCCAGTAGTGTTGACTCTTAACCCACAGATAAAAACCACATGTCTTTTAGGTCCCTACAGAAGGTTTCTACATATTTTTACTCCGTTTTATTTTGTAGGCCATGACTGCACTGTTTTGGTTTACACAGCTTCTATCAGTCTCATTTACACCAGAGAATACTGTAGGTTCAAAGATGTTGCACTGAGAGTCACTTCTTTTATCTATGTGAAGTACATGTATATTGCAAGTTCTGGCAACACAGATATCTTTGGTCTGTCATATCTTTTGTCATCAAAATGATGGCATCGTATTTTATGGGTTCCTTTCAGATTATAAAGCAAATGTAGACAAAACCATGGCTATGGATATAAGTGGTAATATTTCACAATCAGTCAAACTTCAGAGTGGGTTTAAATGGCCAAAAGATGGTATTAGATATCTTGGCATTCAAATTCTGCTAACATTAAACAACCTATATAATACAAACTACAAACCTATAACTCAGAATATTAGTAGGGATCTGGACCGGTGGTCACTATCTCTGTTAGGTCGTATAGAAAGTGTACGGATGAATATACTCCCTAAGCTTCTCTACCTATACTATTTCAGATGTTCCCAATTGATATTCCAAAATCCACATTTGATAAATTAGATAGACTTATTTCAAAGTTCATTTGGCAAGGACAACGGCCGAGAGTTAGACTGAAAACACTACAACTTCCTAAATCCCATGGAGGCCTCAAACTCCCAAATCTTAGACATTACTTCTGGGCTGCACAGTTAAGACTCTTAACAATATGGATTCAGGATCTCTCAGATACACGCTGGCTAAACATAGAAAAAAGTTTGTGTGCTACTCCCCTACAGGCCTTGCCTTTCATAGATGTCCCATTAGGGGACACTCAAATGTGTGAATGGACCAGAGTCACATTAAAAATGTGGAAGAAAATAAAAGTATCATTTGGATTACCTAAAACAATCTCAGCACTAACTGACATTGGATTTATGAAGGATTTTGCTCCCTCCCATATGGATGCAGGTTTTAGGAAGTGGTCAGAACATAGACTCACTAAGCTACACCAACTCCGTAGGGGTAGAAGTCTAAAATCATTTGAACAACTAAAAGAGGAATTCATACTCCCTAACACTGGTTTCTTTAGATATTTACAATTAAGGACATTTTTAACTAAACATAAAGAATGGAATAAAGTCTTGGAGCCCACTCGAATTGAGGAGTTTCTGTTAAAATTACAAACTGGAAACGAGGGTAAGAAGATTATAGGTAGTTTTTATCATATATTTTCAGGTATGACTTTGAATAATACACTGCAGATAAAAAGAAGATGGGAAACCAAAATGAATGTAGACATACCAGAGGACACATGGGATGAAATGTGTACTGAAGCCCATCTTGTAACCAATTCTAATTCATGGAGGGAATTCAAGTGGAAGGTAATAATGAGATTCTTTCGGACACCAGCAATAGTGGCTAAAATGGACCTAGCATACTCTACTACATGTTGGAGAAATTGTGGTACACAAATTGGCAACCATACCCACATATTCTGGACATGTACAAAATTAAAAACATTTTGGGAGGAGGTTTTTAAAGCTCTAGAAATGATATTCCATCAAAAGTTTACAAAAGATCCAACTGTGGCACTACTGGGCCTAGCACCAAAGCATTGATGGTCGAGCTAAAAAATATCTTTTACAAATACTTATTACAGCAGCTCTCAAACATATAACAACTAATTAGCTAAAACCTGACCCTCCGACATATAGTATGTGGACTGGGAAAGTATTGGAAAATTACCTCATGGAACGTATAACATACACCCTGAGACTACAGAAAGAAACATTCATGAAAAGATGGAACCCTGCCATCTCCGTACTGCTTCTAAGCTGAAGCAATTACACACACACACACACACACACACACACACACACACACACACGCACACACACACACACACACACACACACACACACACACACACACACACACACACACACACACACACACACACAAATGAAGATTCTACTACATTTAAATGTTTTCTTTTTGTTCTCAGGATCCAAAGATGGGCTTTGGCATCGCAGTGTCAGGAGGGAGGGACAACCCGAACGAGGATAGCGGAGAGACATCCATCGTGGTCTCTGACGTCCTGCAGGGAGGACCCGGTGATGGCTTGTTGTTGTGCGTGCTGTTATTTTTCATAATTGAGTATAAATCCCTAAACTCCACACACACAGTACACTCAGAAAACATTAATAGACTATAGAGCAGTTTGCCATCAGTTAAACTCTATAATACAGACAGATGCTCGATCTAACCTGGCCCTGTTTGTTCATATGTTTCATGTTTTGGCTTCTAAGCTGAAGCAATTACACACACACACACACACACACACACACACACACACACACACACACACACACACACACAACAGGAATCCCCTCCTTGACTCTTATCTCCTTTTGTTATTATTTATCTGGATTTTTATACACCTCTTATATGTATATATATATATTTGTTTTACCCTATGATAGAGTTAAGTTATATCTGTCTTGTTGTTTTTTAAATTTTTTATTATTATTATTGTGTTTATCCTTGTAAACATATAGATACAGCTGTAAACAAAAAAGGAAAATTGAAGAACTGTGAATATTATTGTATAAATTGTTGAATCTGAAATAAAAACTAAGTTTAAAAAAAGAAATGATGGCATCATGTATGCTTTTTTGACATATAAGAGTCATCTCAAGAGCACTTGTAGATGAGCACAAATCTTAAAGGGTGAGATCCGTGTCTAACCTGTGGGAACTGTCTACCGTGTAGGCGTGTAATGGAATCCTTATGGATGTGAAAAAAGATCTCTACTCTATTATTTAATGAGGCTACGAGGTGTTTCTCTCGACGGTTTACAGAAAACAGATAGCTGCTGCCAGCATCTGCTGCCAGCTGGCTGACTGTACGCCGGCTATCATTCTATTGAAAGGTTCAAACAAATAATATTTCAACTTCAAGGTCATCTAGGGGTATTTACTATATGCCTCATGAGTCTTTCATAGAGAAACCTAAACCTTCATTAAATCTTTAGGGCGTCTGCGGTCTACGTCGGTGTGTGGGGTTTCCAGTTGCAAGAGGAGTGAGAGTGTTCCTAAGCATCGAGATGATGTGGCTCTTTTGGTCATTTCAGAAAAAAAAAAGCAGGACCAAAAAGTCAGTCGTGGCTGATTAGAGCTGTATTGTGTGTTTTCTTTTCTTAATTCCAAGATCAATATGAAACACTGGTGAGACTGTCAGCTGTTTATCTACACCTTTTAAATTATTATGAAATATAAGTGTCACAGCTGAAGGAGGATAAAGCAGCCTCTCTGCTTGATAGTCCAAAGTATTAATTTACTGCACCTTTCCAAGAGCAGGTCACATGCAGCAGTCGTCATAGTGACGGCACCATCAGATACCTGAGTTGGGTGCTGGCGAGGAGCCTAGGCAGAGGAGGGCCAACCCACTGAAGGGGTAGACCAGGCGAACGCTGCAGAGGACACAGAGGACAGACACTTTTATCATTTTTCAAGATGCCGAGGAAAATTGATGCATCTACTTTGGATGAAGGTGGGTTAAAGACAAGAGGACTAAGAGTTGAATCTGCTTTCACATTATGATGATATAAATTATTGAAATTTTAATGATACATAATCCAGCCTGGTTCAGTTCAGAGGATAAAAAATGTTTTATTTTTTCTGTATTAATCAGGAATGTTTTGTTGTTATGTGATAAAGTCTTCTTTAATTTGTGTATGAACATAAAGTCATCTTCTATGATTTCTTACTGCTGTCAGACTTTAAACTACGGTGCACTATGGGGTAAAAGTTCTGGACTCAAGTGACATTGCTTGGCCTTTTAACTTAACTAAGCTTAACACACATGCAGCCATCATCACTGTCTCCACCAGATTCCTATGAGTTGAAATCAAAATAGATTTCTAAGTTTTACCTTACTTAGATACCTTATACAGGCATCTGGTCAAACAATATCAATGAGTATTAAAAAGTGGTGATTCATCTGTGTCTACAAATGTCATGGTATCCCATACAATAGTACCCAGTGACAAATCATGACAGTGACAGATCATCATGGCCATCCCTGGAGTCACATTGCTAAGGTCACTTATGGAGAACAATGGAGAACAATGGAGAACACACTAATGTAATTAAAATGACTAACAACAGCATCAAACCATGTTTCTTACAGTAAATGTAAAAATCTTTTCCTTCTAGTTCACATTATTCAATCAGATAAAGGCTAGTCATTCAATTCTTTATTCATAAGCATTTTTTATCCACATCAATGTTGCTGATAACACCTGGTAAGTGGACATAGTAAGTCCTAATTACAAACTTCTCTTGGATAAATGTTTTGTGTTCCTGTATCCATGCTAGCTATTAGCTGTTGTAAAAGTTATGTTGCTAGTTTTTTTTAGCTAAATGAGCAAACACTAAACACTAAACACTAATTCCCCTTAAGCAGAAAACACTAAGTCTAGTGGAGGTTTATTAAATACGATTATTGGAAATACAACTCTCCCTTTTCTCTCGAGTAACGTAACTATGCCTAGAGTTTGTGTAAACTGACTGTATAAAATGTTTATATACTTTTTATAAAGTCTGTGGCCGATCATAGGGCCGATCTCATCGACCATTCAGAGGGCATCATTGTGCTGCTACTTTAATTCTATCAAATTACTTGTTGCTGCGCTTAGTTTCCGAAATTGAAGCAGGTATAATTCACCAGTATCCTCAATAAATACGAACAAAATACGTAAATGCTTAAAGTTATTAATAACTCATCCTAATAGTCTTGTAGAGCTTTTGCTCAGTGAGCTTCCACATCGTTAGTGTGTGCAGCTGCTAACAAGCAAGTTTGCTAGTAAACTAGAATATTGTTTACTTGCATAAATTAATATAGAATACTGTTACCTGGGGTAGTATTTTGCTTTGGCAATTAAAATTAGACATTTTAATGTACAGATGAATTGTATTCATGTTATTTTAGTCCTGTTCTTTTTTTTTGCATGTTTGTTGTTTTATCAGAAAAAAAGAATCTAATCCAGATCAAATTGGTGAATTAGATGAATTGTTCCAGTTAAATTGGATGTGTTACATTTCCGTCTCTATCTATCTATCTGTCTGTCTGTCTGTCTGTCTTTGTGTCTGTCTGTCTATCTGTCTGTCTGTCTATCTGTCTGTCTGTCTGTCTGTATGTCTGTCTGTCTATCTATCTATCTGTCTGTCTGTCTGTCTATCTGTCTATCTGCCTGTCTGTCTGTCTGTCTGTCTATCTATCTGTCTGTCTGTCTGTCTGTTTGTCTGTCTTTGTGTCTGTCTATCTGTCTGTCTGTCTGTCTGTCTGTCTATCTATCTATCTTGTCTGTCTGTCTGTCTGTCTGTCTGTCTGTATGTCTATCTATCTATCTATCTATCTGTCTATCTGTCTGTCTGTCTGTCTGTCTGTCTGTCTGTCTGTCTGTATGTCTGTCTGTCTATCTGTCTGTCTGTCTGTCTGTCTGTCTGTGTGGTTTGTGGAGCTGATGGTGTTTGTGTTGTTTTTCTGTTCTTCCTCAGTTGGGATAGAGGTGGACGGGGACTTGACTGACAGTGATGGTGAGTGAATAATAACAGAATTTCGAAGTAACTGATGAAATACTTTCAGTCCAGAATCTAATCTAGTAACTGAAATATCAACTTTGATTTGTCTTGTTTGTTAAACCTTATCTTAATCTAGACGGTGCCACGCAGAGGAGACCAAACAGAAGGCAGGCAGCCGGCAGAGGAGGCGCAAGGGCAAGAGGACGGGGTAAAAAACCAGCCAGCGATGATGACGATGAGGAGGAGGAGGACGAAGATGACGCTCCCAAGAGACGCAGGGGAGCAAACAATAAAAAGCCAACTAAAAAACGTGGCGGTGGGGATGATGATGATGACAGTGAGGATGAAGCTCCGAAGAAGAAACGAGGAGGAGCGGCCAATAAGAAGCGAGGAGGAAAAGGAAAAGCCCAGGACAGTGATGAGGAGGACAGTGACGCGGGGAAGGGAAAGAGGGGAAAGAAAGGAGGAGGAAAGAAAGGAGGGAAGGAGGAGGAGGACAGTAAGGGTAAGAAGGGGGACGCCAAAGGAAAGGACAAAGGGAAAGACAAGGGGAAAGACAAGGACAATGACAAGGACAAGAAAAAGAAGAAGAAGAAGGATGACAGGTAGGCCATGAAGAAGTCAAACTAAGGAGTCAGATACCAAACTAATAAGACTGTGATTTAAAAATGAAGCCCTGCTAACTGGAGGTCGCAGGGCTCATTAAACACCACGACTTGTAACAAATCTGCTCTACTAAGAACAATGTCCATTCTGGAGTCTGTTGGGGCCCGAGGCAAAAATTGACAGGGAGCCCCTACAGACAGCATTTGTCCCCATTATGTAATAAATAATCTGACACCAAACACATTTTTTTTTAGCAGAAGTTATGTTATAAAAGTGTCTCTCCCCCATATTGAGGGCCAGACGGGCATCATGTTAGTGTTGTCACACAATATCACAGGGGGGTTTCCAACTGTCATTGCAAACTTTGCACTGCTGTGGTTTAAAGTGTATCAGCTCTTGGAGGCCCCCTACTGGCCTGGGACCCCAAGCAGTTGCCTGCCTTGCCTGTTGACCAATAAGTATTTATATGAACAACATTTTGACACAAGTTTTCTTAACCTTTGGAGAGCAGTTTCTTCAGGGCAGCCTTCCTTACAGACTTCATCATTTATATTTTTGGTCTTTGAATTGCCCTACAAACAAGCCAGCTCACTCCACTAAACGAAAAGATTTAACCTTCTATGAAGCATGAACGTGCTTTGAAAGTTGCATTGAGTTAATATTTAAATCATTAATTTAATATTTTATGGGAATAAGTAGTTTTTAATAAGTTTTTTTGAAAAATATCAGAAATTTGAAAACAGCCTCAGCTTGTTTTTATGCTTAATAGCAAATATTTGCATGCCACGATGCTTCACGAGGAAAGTGAATATGATAAACAGCTTCACCCTCATGCTATTGTCTTCATTGTCTACTCTTTAATAGTGATTGTTTATAGCAGTATATTAACCAGTTAATCTTCAAGAATCCCTACATTCTGCTTTATTATGCTGTTCAACACCTTGCGGCCTCTATGTTTTATTTCTTAAGGGGGGACATCCTCATTACAATGTGTCTGCTGGAGTAGGTGTCCATCATTTGATCTGTCTCCATCTTCCCTTCCTCCTCCAGTTCCTCTGATTCAAACACGAACTCTGACGAAGAGGAGGAGTCTCTGTCAGAGGGTGAGATGGCCGCTCTGATGGAGGAGGTGGAGGAGAAGAAGAAACTGATTGCCACCATCAGAAACAAGCCATGGAGGATGAAGAGGAGGCTCTTCCACTTAAAGTAACTTATAACAGCTCTTCTTTGGTTTCCAATTTCAGAGAATAATTCTTTAGTTCAACCCAGAATCACAGAGCAATATTTCAATATTTCCAGGCAAATATTAGGTGTATAATATAATATCAGGTTTGAAATGATCTCTTAACTAATAACTTAAAGGTCCACAGCACGCTGCAAACTGCCACATTTTATACCGCAGAGATTCCTAAAGAGTCGTACCTGAAAGGCATTATGAGATATAATGTTACAGAAACATCACTCACACAGCTTTAACATTAAGTTGATATTTGTCTTAAGACTGCTGTCTGTATGATGTGTAGCAGTAAAGCAGTGTGGATAAACCTCAATGCAGCTCTTTAGTCTGACATGAAGTCTTGTCCCTTCACAGAGAGGCTCAGCAGTTTGTGGATAAGTTTGAAGGAGCTCTGGGCAAAGGAAAAGGCAGGAAGTGGTACGCTTACAAAGTGATGATGACAAAGGTTAGCATCAGAACTCAAACTGTCTTGTCTTATATTTCGTTTTTACACGTTGTGTATGCCCACTGTGATTCACTTTCTTTGAATCTCAGAAATGGATCAAGTTCCAGAGGGATTTTGAAAACTTCAGAACGGCCTGCATCCCCTGGGAGAGGAAGATCAAAGAGGTTGAAAGTAGGTTGTTTTTTTTGTGTGCGGTGCAGCCAAACAGCTCCTCCAAGTGGACAAAGAGTTTAAAAAAAGAAAATCCTCTGTATGCCCTCAGGTCACTTTGGATCATCTGTGGCGTCTTACTTTATCTTTCTGCGCTGGATGTACGGCATGAACCTGGTCCTGTTTGGTTTCACCTTTGGACTCGTGGTTATGCCTGAGGTGAAATGATGTGCTCCTGCTTCTGAATTAAAAAGCTGCCGAAAAATCTACTGGCATAGAACTTCAAAAACAATTTACCAATACACTGGATGTATTTGTGTTACCTTTGATTATTTAAAGAACATTTCTTGCAAATAGATGTTCTGTATATCATTTCCAGGTTCTGATGGGTCTTCCATACGGGTCGATTCCCAGGAAGACCGTACCCAGAGCAGAACAGGACACGGCTCAGGACTACTCTGTGCTCATGGACTTCAATGTGAGTCTATGAGAAAGGTCAAAGATTAGATCATGTGTTCTAGTTCTTATTTATCAAGTCATTCCCTGCTTTAAATATATTAGTAGTAAGTATATATACAAATACAAAGAATCTGTCTTGGTCATTTGGTGTTTTTTCAGTCAGAAAGCTCAGGTTTGCATTAGTTTGAAAGAATATTGCACAAAGTATGTACACTATGTGAATTTAGAGTGCAGCTTAAAAAGAAGGCTTGCAGAAGCCGAGCACTTCAAATACTAGTCGACTACACATTGGGCAAAATAAAGAAAAGCAGATCACATAACAAATGGTAAAAACAATTATATTCTGTATAAGTAATTTCGCCTGAAAGAGAAATCCAGATTAACAGTTATTACATAGTTTAACTTCTTTTTGAAAGAGTTAGCTAACTTTTTCTTTAAATGTAATAATCATTCCTTTTTTTAAGATATCAGACATTTTTTGGGGGCCTTTTTGCCTTTATAGGACAGCTGAAGAGAGACAGGAAATGCTTTTTAGGAGAGAAAGGGGGTCTAAATGCAGCAAAGGGCCTAGTGTGGATCTAAACCCACAGCTGCTACAAAGAGGACTCCAACCTCTTGGGGCGTTTGGGGCGCATGATGTACCACTAGGCTATCGGCGCTCCCAAGATTTCATACTTATTGATTGAAGCTTATTTTTATTATTTTGCAAACAAAAGTGAAGATTTTCCTCTTTGTTTTAAATCACAGCGTGCACAATGTGTTTTCACTTCTGATATTGTTAAAGCTGTCAGTCACAACAACAAGAGGGCACAAATCAGGACTTCATAGTTCAGCTCAGTTCTTTGGTTTCCAGTAAGATGTGATGCAGTTTTCATATCGTTTCATAAGAAACTCACTTCATATGTGGTAAAATGAAAGTGACGACAGCTCCTCTATTCTCAGGGCTACTGCAAATATTCCGTCCTTTTCTACGGATATTACAACAACCAGAGGACCATCGGCCTGCTGCAGTTCAGGCTGCCTCTGTCCTACCTCATGGTCGGGATCGGCTCCTTTGGCTACAGCCTGATGGTGGTTATTCGCACGTGAGTCTGCAGCGGCGTCCAATGAAGGCGCTTCATATGGACTGTCACAGGAATATCATTAAGTACCAGTTTTAATTGTTTGAATGATTCAAGAGTTCAGAAAAAAAGATGTTGTTAAATAGATCTGATTTAATTTTACTGAAAAAATGTGACTTAAAATCAAAACACTGGGACAACAGAAAAGGGAAAGATGAAACAATCTGTTATATGTTCAAAATGATGGAAAATATGGTCAGTGACGAAAATACAAAAAGGACCGTTAAGCATTTTCTGCCCACAAAGAAGTCTGTTTTGTTCCTCAGAATGGCCAAGAACGCTGATGTGGGCGGTGGAGACGGAGAGGAGGGAGAGTTCACATTTGCCTGGAAGATGTTCACCAGCTGGGATTACCTCATAGGAAACGCAGAGACTGCCGACAACAAGTACGCCTCCATCACCACCAGCTTCAAGGTAAACATGGCAACCACAGGCAACAGGAACATAAATATCTCTGGCAATGTTTTTTACTGACTGTAAATCTCTGTCTCTCTCTCTCTCCCCGCTCCCCCTTTTTTTTGACAAGAACAGGAGTCCATCGTGGACGAGCAGGAGAACCAGAAGGATGAAAACATCCACCTGCGGAGGTTCCTACGAGTCCTGGCTAACGTCCTCATCACCTGCAGCCTCGGCGGCAGTGGATACCTCATCTACTTTGTGGTGAAGAGGTCTCAAGAATTCGCCAACAGGGACGACCTCAGCTGGTACGAGAAGAACGAGGTAATGACCCTCAGATTGTTGCAGGAGATCTGTGTCACTCATCAGGCCTTTATTGTGTCTTGAAAGGAAAGTATATCATAAAAGTTATTTTTAATTTGGACTCTTGTGGACAGCTGGAGCTCATCATGTCTCTGCTGGGTCTGGTGTGTCCTCCTCTGTTTGAGACCTTCGCTGAGCTGGAGGACTACCATCCTCGAATCGCCCTCAAGTGGCAGCTCGGGCGCATCTTCGCCCTCTTCCTGGGAAACCTGTACACCTTCCTGTTCGCCCTGTTTGACGAGGTTAATACAAAGGTATGGAAGTAGTTTATATGACACGCAGAGAGATTTCTAATGGTGACACAGCCTCTACAGAAGCTTTCAATGATGACATAGCCCTTCAGACAATCCTGGCTCAAGATTGATCTTCTTAACGTCTCATAAAAGCTGCATTGGTGTCAGTTTGGATCTACTTATTGCATCTGAATTGATCTGAAAAAAGATTTGATGTTTCGATTAGTTAATGTGTCCGCCAAGTCAGCACATTACTGAGACTTTAGATTTACAAATATTCAAATCTTTTTTCAGAGCACTGAGTCTCCCCCTGTTGGCCATTCGAAGGAATGCAGGTTTTAATGTAATTCTGCAATCTGATTAATCGGCCTTTTTTATTTACAGTCAGTGGCTTTAGTCCTTAATAAGATCTGTAAAGAAATAATGTGAGATTTGTGAACAGGTTATGAACTACATAACCATAAACTACAAGTTTTCCAGTTTTGTGACCCCAAGTTGTCAAAACTTTTCTAGTCTAGTCTTAAAAAAACGACATGTATAAGGCTCAAAGTGTGCTTTTGTGGCTCTCTTTCACACTGCTCTACTTTGAATGTTTTACTTTTGTTTAATAGAAATGTTGTGTATCCGTGTTGACTGAATCTTGTGTTTGCGACTCGCAGCTGGAGGAAGAACAGTCCATTAAGAACGCCTCCATCTGGGCCATGAAGGAATATTACGCCAACTTCACGGTTATGATCAACGACACATTGGTAACCCCGCCGCCCATGCCCCCCGCTGACGTCATCAGAGGACCATGCTGGGAGACTGCTGTTGGCATAGTAATGAACAAAAAACTCACTTTTATTTCTTATTTAGACCCAGAAGTAACACTGTTAAATATTAACAAATGGTTCACTTACATTTTCTATCAGTATGTACACTAGCAAGTTGTTATAATTAAGATTATTTGTATAAAAGCCTTTCAAATAATGTAATCAACTCATTTTCAAAACATCCATTTCAGTTTTGTCTTTTTTATTTTTTCTCAATACAAAGTATCCTTGTGTTTACAAATGACTTCAAGTTGTTCTGAAAGCAAAAATATCACCCTTCCTAAATGATTATACATCTTATTTGTTTGTGTGTGTTGTTGTTGCTGTAGGAGTTTGTGAAGCTGACGGTGTCGGACATACAGGTCACCTACCTGACCATCCTCATCGGTGACTTTGCCCGAGCGGTCATCGTTCGCTTCCTCAACTACTGCTGGTGTTGGGACCTGGAGGCTGGATTTGTGAGTGTGTCCGAAGCATCATGTGACTCAGTTTTTATTTAAACAGTCATTTTAATAGAACAGTATGTTGTTCAGAACAGCTCCACTATTTCTGAGACAAAAGTGTCCGGATGCAGATTCAAACCCTTTTCAAACATACATAGACATAGACAAGACAGAAGGCATTGTGTAAATTGTTTTCACACACGTACCATGTCACAGATGCCCCGAGTTTTGAGGGAGCATGCAATTGGCTTGCTGACTAAAGGAATGTCCATCAGAGCTGTTGCCCGTGAATTTAATGTTTATTTCTCTTCCATAAGCTCTTCCAAAGTTGTCTCAGAGAATTTATATTAGATCCTACCGGTCTCACAACAGCAGACCTCGTGTAGCAAAGCCAGCCCAGGACCTCCAGCATCCGGCATCTTCACCTGCAAGATTATCTGACACCAGCCACCTGGACGGCTGACGAGACAATGGGTTTACATAACCGAAGAGTCTCTGCACCAAATGTCAGAAACAGTCAAAGGAGATGTGTTGTGAGGAAAGTGATGGTGACTTTTCAGATAAAACTGCACATTTTAGAGTGGCCTGTTTTTGTTTCCAGCCTAAGGCACACCTGTGCAATAATTATACTTTCTAATCAGCACCAAACCCCTGTCAGGTGGATGGATTTGAATTTGGGATGAATATGCATTCTGTGTACAAAGAAATAGTCTTAGGTCTCTGATTTCAACTTGTGAAAATTGAAACAGAAACAAAAGTGTTTATATTTTTGTTCAGTGTAATTCCAGTCACATTAATCAGTGGTGTCTTTTTCTTTTGGGTTGATAAATAAATATTATCATGCTTAGGTGCTAAACTAAGATGGTAATTTGTGAATTTATGAAACATGCGTTTAATTGAGTAATCATTTTGTCTGTTGACTTTCAGCCGTCGTATGGAGAGTTTGACATCAGTGGAAATGTACTTGGATTGGTCTTCAATCAAGGGATGATCTGGTATGAGCTTTTGTTTTTATACATCAACCACACACGATCAGTTTTCATTGTGTACCTCTGTGTGATTGTACGCTGACGTTTACATTCATGGGTGTGTGTTGCTGTGTGTATCAGGTATCATTTGAGTGTATAAATGGTATCAGTGTCATCTATACTGTCGGTGTTTGGGCTTCAGGATGCAAAGACATCACTGTGTGTTGACAGCACTTTGAATGGAGATGATAAGTCCTCAGTGAAATGTGTGATATGAGTCTTTATGTTGTAGGTGGGTGTTGCCCTTTGGTGCTGAAAATATGTATTTTTACAACTAATAAAGATCCCAAAACTATAGTTAGAAATCCAGCATTTGATTGTTTTAGTTTTTCAGATTGTATCCCTTTCTCATCTGTCGTCTTAATTTCCTCAAATTTGAAATGTTTAATACTTAAAGCAATTGTAAAAAAAATGTCATGATGGTGTGATGGTGAGTGGAGGTGGGTTGGAGGTGTGTTGGTGGAGGAGAGCGGCGGCTTCAGAATAGCCAAGGTGTCTCCAAACAGCAGTTTGTTTTGGTTTGATGCTGATGCTCAAGGGCGACATCTACTGGGTCAGAAGATTCAGAAGGAAGAAGACATTCTTCCTTTAAAAATGTTCCATGCCAGTGCTTCATTGTGAGTTACACGTTGGACATTTGAACCAAAGAGGGATGAGAAGTTACAGCGGTTTCCAAAATCTACAAATATCAGAAAGTTCCTCACAGGAGGTTTATAAGAGTAGTGCTCATACCTTAGTGTAGAATTTGACCACTGTCACGTAAATATAGTATTAAAAGCATTTCAAAAGGAAAGTTTACATGTTTTGTTCTTTGTTACTCATCATGTGACCACACTGAATGATGTCATGTTGTGTTGTGTTTCAGGATGGGTGCATTTTACGCTCCGGGTCTGGTCGGCATCAACCTGCTCCGCCTCCTCAGCTCCATGTACTATCAGTGCTGGGCTGTCATGGCCACAAACGTCCCCCACGAGAGAGTCTTCAAGGCCTCCAAGTCCAACAACTTCTACATGGGTCTGCTGCTCCTCATCCTCTTCCTCAGTCTCTTACCTGTGGTCTATACCATCATGACGCTGCCGCCTTCGTTCGACTGCGGACCCTTCAGGTAACAATCAGACATAAACCTTGAAGTGTAAGAAGCTTAAAAAACCAAAAGGAAAGCATACTGATGCCGCTGATTTTTGCAGTGGGAAGGTAAAGATGTTTGATGTGATCATGGAGACGATCGATCTGGACCTGCCGGCTTTCCTGGGGACGCTGTTCAGCTACGCAGCCAACCCGGGCCTCATCATACCGGCTGTGCTGCTCATGGTGTAAGTGTGGAGGAGATTCTCACACATTTACCAATGAATGCATCCTCTTGCAAAGACGCAAACGCAAGTGAATGATCACACTGCTTGTTGTTGTTGTTGTTGTTGTTTTTGTGGTGGTGGTAGAGTGTGAGTCTAAAAAAAAGATGCAAAACTTTGTTGCATTTGAAGCTACTGAAAACCACAAATCCTGTCATTCTCCTCTCCAGACTTGCCATCTACTATCTGAACTCCGTGTCTGAGGCCTACAAGAACTCCAACACGGAGCTGAAGAAGAAGATGCAGATGGTAAGTGAAGAAAGGAGGTAACATTAGTTTTACCTTCTTCATCATATACTTGAGCAAGATGCTACAATAGAACTAAAAGCAGTCTACAGGATTCAGAAACTTATTTAGCAAAAACCAAACAAAATAAGTGAAATGACAATCTCAGCTGTATTATTGGTGAATATTTGCACAAGAAATGCAAATCCAAGAAGGCTTACACAGTAAATTTACCTACAGTAAACACCAGCATGCTCAAGTGATTTTGAGCATGTGAACATGCTGATGTATGTCTGAGGCTAATGGCTGAATCCAAAAGTCTTCCCTCAGTGTAAAGCATCAGTAGGACAAACTGTGATGTGTTTACTGTCATCATGTCATCTTTAAGTCTGCAGAGGGCGCTGATATAAAGGCCTGAAGATGTGCAAAAAATATATATTTTTTGATTTCCTCTGAAGCTGATACTTCTGCATAGTTATCCTCGTGTGCTAAATAGTTTCTGTCCACATGATTCAAATAATATTGTAATGAAGTAGTTGTTCTTTCACATCAATAAAAAGTTATTTTAGGTTTATTTTTGTTTGTATAAGGAAAACTACAGGTCCATAGTTATTGCATTAGATTGTCAGAGAAATGCAGAGAAAGTCTGCCTGCGCTCTTTGAGGATTGGATCAAGTGGGGGTCTTAAGAGTCCTCAGTACTTGTAGACTTATCTCAAAGGTCACATGCAAAGTCTGCAGGTCTGCAGATCACTAAAGTCTGGACACTTTAACTCAGCCTGAGCAAAGCCTCTTTTTGCTGTTTCGTACACATTGTTGTACAGTTCTGCAGGAGCTTTCACAGTTTTTGGTTGGAAAGGAAAATGTCCTGTGACTTTCTCTGCTTTTTATGTAATGGAATAAGAGGAAATGGGAAACACATATTTAAGCCTCATGGTTGTAATGGGAAACATGTTCTTTCATTTCCAGTAACACACACACACTGTAGTTTATTTGGAATCAATCTCACACACACACGTGCAAGCATGCACACCCACCCTCACACACACACAGACACATAATGTTCTTCTGTTGTAAATTCTTACCCGAGCACATTAAACATACTAATCAGCCACTAAAAATAGTCCCGCCTGCATAAAATTTGCCGTTAACAAAAGGATCCATTTGGTTTTTTTAAATTACCAAACCCACTGAAACCTTCTTACTTGTGACCAACTTGTGTTTTTTTTTCTTTACACACATGCCTTCAACAGAAGCAAAAGGCGTAGGGCGAAGTGTTATTGTCATCTTAGAGATCACAGTGTTGATAGAGACTTGAAAATAGTTAGTTTTCCTCTTTTCAAAGTATTTTGGTAACAACAACAAAACTATACAACAGCCATATCCTTAAATCTTCTTCTTGCAGAATCTTTAACTGTTAGTACAACCCCTCCACTCTTCCTCCACTGTCTTCTATTTCTTACTTAATCTCTTATTTTGTATCATCTTATCCGTCTCTCTCCTGGTCCGTCTGTCCAGGCTCGAGACGAAGAGAAAAACCGCAGGAACAACACAGACAGCACCAACCAGGTCATGAAAGACCTGGAGGACCTGCTGCCGAACCGGTCTCTGGCGCCTCCTGCTCCCCCTGAGCCTGGTTAGTAAACTCCTGATTGGTTGTCCAATTAGATTTACATGGACATAATAAAAGTGAATAATCACATCTTGCATTTATTATAAATCCAAAGCTTTCCCCAGTATTAAACAATAAAAGATGTCCTTTATTCTGGATATCAAGCATTGATCAGTTTTTTGTTAAAGAATCATCTACTTATATTAAATATATACTGGAACGCTAATCCACCACGCTCCCTGTCCAAACAGTAAAGAAACCAGAGCCAGAAGCAAAGCCAACAAAAACCAAGCCGGGATCAGCAGGTAAAGGTGTGAACCTGCAGAAAGATGTGGCTCTGGCATCCCCCAACCCCAACGCTCGAGGACCCGTGAGGCAGCCCCCCGGCCCTAGAGGACCTGGACCTGGTCCTGGAGCTGGACCGGGACGAGGCCGTGGGAGAGGGCCCCCTCCGAGATAACAGAGTGAGAAATCTCCATTCATTTCACAGCAGGTGAATTAAATTATATATTAAAATAAATGTCCTCTTATTTACTGAAATCATAAAGTACTGAAAGTCCCCTGAAGTCAGTTTTTGTAATTGAAAGATGTATGAATTGTAACTTACTGTTTGGCAACACGGTGCAGTGAAAATAAGACAGATGTGCTTTTTTTTTTTGTTTTCTTCTTACATTTACTTTGTAATTCACGGTATGATTCTGACTTTGCAATAAAGTTTATAACACATCTTTGTCGTAGCTAAGTCTACATCTTTTTATTCTCAGCTGCTGAGATCAGCAGCTAGCTTCTTTTGTTGGACCCTCAGTCCAACCAACAGTTTTATCTCCAGGAAGGAGAAACTTGGAGGAGGGGACGTGCTTTTGTGTTTGTGCATAGACTATAACTAAGAAGGGATGTAGCCTCAATCTTAAAAGAGAAGCTTGTTCAGAAATGCTTCAACAAACATCATTCTGCACTGGTTGCCTAAGAGAAGTCAGGTATTAGATGAGAATGTAAACCTGTTTTGTTACCTATTCAAATATTATCCTACAAAAATTACAGTCTCAATATAAAGCGGGTAATGAGGTTATGACAATAGGAGATCTTTTTTTTTTAAACGGTAATCATGAGCTGAAGGAGAGATGATTAACTGTCTATGCTAATCTGTTGAAAGTGGACAGGGCAGTGGGAGTGACCTAAAACAAAGTTACTTTACCTTTAAATGGAATTGTGCTGCATGATGACAGACTTGGAGACGGACAAACACAACCTCTCATAACTCGTCATTTTGTCTTGTTGGATGAATCATTGGACTACACAGGGTTTGTTTTTTTCCCTGACGATGGTCTGCACAGAACCTGTAGTTAAGCCACGCCCCCTTATATCAACTTTGTCCAGGTGTCTGTGTGATTAAAGCTATTCAAATGTAATGCAATTTGCAATAAACATCTTTGTACACAACAGTTCCTTACTTTTGTTACTGCTAAAATCTCATTAATGTTTCTGCCACTTTTAAACAGTAACCTAACTTATTAATCATTATGCTCCATAAACCACATCATTGTCACAAAAGCATATTTTCTTTCTTGTTACAATTTTGTGCTAACAATACCCACAATGCAAAGTGTCTGCTAACAGTTTTTTGTA